GGGTGGCTGCTGCCTGCTGGGTGGGATCAGGATGGGTACTGAAGTTGCCAAAATGTGGCATCTCTTGTAGCTTTTGGGGGAAATTTTGCAACTCTTTATCATTAACATCCCAATAAATTTCATTTTAACTAGGCAAAAATGAAATACTTTCTCTTTTTGAAAATGGTTTCACTGGCAGGGTGACCGAAAGTGTCCGATTTTTGGGGGGCATGACCGACCGATTACCGAATCGGTCAGCATATCTTTTCGGTAACCGAAATTTTCGGTAACCGATTGACATCACTACTACCTACCCATCTTTCTTAACCCCTTGCAAGGGCTTGTGTAGGCATGCATTGCGCATCAGGCTTCAGGCCTTCGGCCTAAAGCCATATACACAACCACTTAACCTATGATGCTTCATGAGCTTGAGAATCTACAGCCCATTGCAATGTGCTTTTGGCTATATGTTTCAACTAAAAACAACTTATTATATACTATTTGGTTGCATTTCATTGAAAGTATCCACGGCCGGCTGACGGCTGGCTGCCCACAGTTTGCCACGGCTGTGGGCGGCTGTGGCTGTGGAGCCACGGCTGCGGGGCGGCTAGGCTGTGGAAAATTGCAGCCGTGCAGAACTCTAGCAGCCACCAATAGCAACCCGTTCCATCCAGGAACAAATAATGTAATGTAATGTAATGTAATGTAATGTATTTAATGAGACAAAATGTATTAAATAAGTCGCGCACCTGGGACGGTTCGAACCGGGTTTCTCCAACCGGTCACCCTACGACGCTAGCGTGTATCCACTGAGCTGCCGAAACCAGCGACCACCCGCCGCGGTCAAACGCGATCAAATGTCACAATACTGTCATTGGCGGTCAGCGGGTGAATGTCATTTTGTTTTGTGCGGACGAGGACCATTCTCGGTAGCTCAGTGGATGAACGCTCGTGTCGTGAATTGGCCGGTGGGAGAAGCCCGGTTCGAACCCCCCTGAGTGGCCGACTTTTTTGGCTCCTAGTTGGAACGGTTTGCTATTGGGGGCTGCGACCATTAGAGCAACAGTAATAATCGCTTTAAACTGGGGCGTTGGCTGCGGCACTACTCATAACCCCCAGTTCCCACGTCTCATGGACGATTACCGTGCGAAACAATAGACACCAATCTGCTCAATCAAGGCCTTAATACTAATATGTTATACAAAATATAGCTCCGCACATCGATGCACGAGTGACAAAAGTTCTATCGGCTGTCCCATTGCCACGCTTAAGTGTGTCGTAATGTGCATTGCAAGTGATGATAGGCGCTGTCTTGGGGATAGGACATTTTAACAACTGCTTTAGCACAATTGTTAGGTAAAATAATTGGCGCCTTGAGACGCGAAAGTTAACTACACTCGCTCAGCCGCGCGATGTCCGTGCTCCCACCCCACCTCACTCCCCAGCCCTCGCCAGCCGCCGCGCCGCGCCGACCCGAGCCATGTCTCCGGGCTCGGCCCTCACCGCTGCGCTGACGTCACAGGCGGCCCACATCACCTTCCAGCCACCGACCCAGACCGGTGTCATACGGGTGGGTAGGCTGTGCCGCTTGACAAGTAAGTGAAGCGGCACAGTCTACCGGTAACAGGCGGCCGCTGCCAATGCTGAGCCATAGGAACCCGGTGGATAAAGAGTTGTAGAACATCAATCTGCCCCCGAGTGTACCTCCAACTGACTTGTGCATGGCACCTTACTAACCGGTCTCTAGCGATGTGCCAAATTTGAGCACAATCGGCCCAGCCGTTCTCGAGATCTGGAATCGACCCCTGCACGTGCGCACGTGCAGCAGCACCCCCACTGTGGCACATGGTTATGCATTGCCTATAGTGGGTGCCTACCTAAATGCCAACTTTCAGCGCAATCGGCCCAGTAGTTACCGAGATATTGCAACAATTACAAAACTGACATCTCTTCGTTTTGCACGTGGCACGTGCATAAGGGGTCACCCACATGCATCGGGAATAGTCCAATACTTGGTAGAAGGAATGAAGCTACCCTACAAAAATTACTGCATGTAAATCGGTCAAGTGGTTGCTGAGATATAAGCCTCGCAAAAGCGTCCGCACGGCCGGCCGGCCGGCCGCTCATACTCAGAAATTTCCGTTAATCTAAGGAAAGACTCCGCTCGCTTCGCTCGCTCCGTAACAAGTTTAAATAGTACAAGCGTCTTAAGTTGAAAACAGGGTTAAGTCACCCCCGTTTACGGTACGTCTGCTTGTATTGTGTTACTTGTTAGAATGCTTTCAGTTATTGTAACGGATTGCTCGCAAATTGCTGGTGCTTTTTTATGCACATTAAAGGGACCCTCCCACCTTCAAAAAAGTTAATGAATTGGCACGAAAGTGATGTCGCTCGGTTCAGAAAGAGCGAAAACGAATATCTACCAAATTTCATCGAAAAATATTCACCGGTTTTCAAGATATTAGACTTTTACTTTGTTTACTTTTTGGGATCTCCGCTGTTCCTAGCGACTTTATTTGAAAGTGCGGCATTTGTTGCGCGCAAAGCAGCATATACCACCGCGTGCTACCAAACGTTTTAGTAAAAGATTTAAAAATCGTTAGATCTCCGCTGACGTCACAAATTCTAAGGGGGCATACCAATGCACTAGCCCCTTAGAATCCGAAAACTGCAAGTTTGAAATTCCATATCTCCGAATTAAAGCATTTGTCGATGTTGTGAGTGCCCAAACCGGTATTTGCAAGCCATGGCCACCAATTTGGCTATCTCAACTCAAAACTAATGTTAAGGTGGGAGTGTCCCTTTAATGCTTAGTTTTCTACCACTTACACTTGTACAATTGTACTTGTAGTGTACACTTGTACACTTGTACTGTATTGGCTTATGGTGAGCTCAATAGGGGAGAGTGGGGCAAAGCGGCCACCCGGGGCAAAGCGGCCATCCATCGTTTTAGCCCTCCACAGCTGGCGTCAGTTCCAATTTATGATTTCCAATTATACTTCTCTTTGTGGTCGTTAAACACGGAAAAGCATTTCTTGCCAGGTTACCAATTATGTTTACAATTTTTAAATGTTATTTTATTCCATAACCGTTTGGAATTTTTATAAGCGTTTTTGTCCATGCATTGCGTGGTTATCGTACATGCCTTCTACCAATTTTAATGCTTTTTACCCCACTAATAGCTGAGCTGGAATATTTTTGTCTCGGACGGTATGCGCGGGGCAAAGCGGCCGGGGCAAAGTGGCCAGCCCCCAATTGGCCATAAGTTGTTTCCATCTGGATAAAAACATTATTTATATTCAAATGTGTCGTCATGCATTCATCTTGGCCACTTTTCGGTTACATGAGTTACCAAATTATGCAATTAAATGTTTTTCCAAGAAAATTCTTTCTTTGTTTAGCAATAGGTGGGAAGATAACAAAGTAAACATCCATCTTCCCTTAAACCTTGTCACCATCAAATACCCTAGTCGTGCATGAGGCAACTATTCTGTTTCTCATATCGGGACTTGAGAAGTCGCCAGTGGCCGCTTTGCCTCAGGGATGGGGCAAAGTGGCCATTATGCTATAGGTTTAAAGTTGTGTCAATATCTCCCATATGTGAACGCATTTGGAAATGAAACGCAGTTGGAATAAAAGACAATTTAATAGGGATCACATTGGTATAGAAAGCATCTTTCCAAGTTTAAAAATCAAGCGTCGGCATCGTTAGAAACGTTAGGGTGGCCGCTTTGCCCCACTCTCCCCTACTTATCATGATCAGACCAAGGCAGGGACACGAGCCCAGCTCGCTCTCTCAGTCCACCCGGGCCGGCGCCGGACGGAGCCGGACGGCCACTCGCAGGTAGGCAACCCGCACAGCACCAGCAGCCGCGGGCGGTCAGCTGACTGACCGGCCGGCAGCAGACGTGCGGCGGGCCAGTGGCCACGGATGGCCGACCTTGGGCCGACCCGCCGGGCGGCGAGGGAGGGGAGAGGCGCAGCTCGAACGCTTGGCTACAAACACACCCGCCCCAGTTCCCGCTGTCGTTGTAGCGGTTCGGTGGAGCGGCGAAGTTCGGGTAGATGGGTCGTGTGTTCGGACCGCAGCGGAGTTACGTTTTCAAAAACACACATGCACACATAATGCGAAATTGCAACACATGCGCTTAGCGCAAAGTGTTCATTGGTCATTTTGTCACATACTTTACCGCGTAAGCATTGAGCATACTGAAAGGCAATTCCATTTGGATGTCTACCGTTTTTATATTATGATAGCTAGGATAGGATATTACCTACCCAACGAATGGTGCTATAGACAGAAAGGTATAATTACGGAAAGCATGATTTTGAACATTTTTAGTGGTTGGTGAGTGCTGACCCAGCGAGAACTTACTTACATCTCATCCTCATCTAGAATATAAAAAACTGGTTTTGTCGCGCTGAAATGGTGTTCAGCAATGAGGTCCGTTGTCATTGCCATCTTAGACAGCGTGCCGTACTGCTTATCCAGCCATGCTCGCCGGACTGGCCCGGCCGGTCTTGCCCCGCCGTAACCGAGCGAGTGAGGTGTGTCGCGATCAAAGGTCACACAGGCGTCCCTGCCCCAGGCGCGGTCCCAAGCCTCGATGTCCGGCACCGCCTCAGCGCGGCTGACACGGCTCGTTTAGCCAGGCCACGTAAGCCTGAAATGGTAGACTATCCCGTTGAACACCAGAGTGCTGCAGTCAGTCTTCTTCCCGTAAATCCTCGGTCTCGGCGCTCACGGCTGGGGTATTCACTACAGCGGAGCGGCACAAAAAGGATCAAGCTTAATTTGGAAACAATAGTACACACTAATGTACCTTCTAAGCACATCATTACAATCAGAAGGGCCTCAGGGACCCACCAATAGCCAAAACAACCAGATCTGTAAAGGAAGGTCATGCCCATTTTCCCTTCAACTTAGCATTCAAAAGCAGTTGCGTACAAGAAAGTTGCAATCGGTACAGACCACCCTGACCTGGGGTGCACCCGGTACAGAGCGCTTTGAGTTCGGTTACCTCCAACGAGGAAGTTGTATGCGATGCTGGCGTACTTTTCCGACTGATCCAGCGTCCAGCGGCCGAAGGCGGCCGTCTCTCTCGGGTAGCAGGCGCTGGTGGGCACTGAAACACAGCGTCCCCAATTACTCAGGCTAGGACATTTAGGTAGAGCGTGCGGCAAAAGTTTCGATCCCTTGCAAATCGTTACCTCCATTCAGTAAAAGAAAAAAAATCGTGCAACAAACTCATTTGAGCGGTCAATACATTCCCCATGAAAATGGTCACGGGGTGAGATACGAGCAAGTGTGCTGGCCTGGCCTGGCCACAGGCTGACTGACTCTTTAACTGACTCTTGATTGTTACGGAAGATGAAGAATCCACAGTATGGTTGGTGTTTTAAGGACAGAAATGACATCATTCATGAGGTGGAGCAGTGATTTACTGGACAGTGCGAAGGTCTTGCAATGACCGCCTGAGGCAGCTCAAGAAACGATGCAGTAAGTTTGCGGTCGTGTGTGGTGACTTGCGAAGGAGTAATGAACATCATGTAAAAAAGTCAAATTTCTATCGCATCTAATTCATGGTAATGATCAGAACTTTTCGATATTGCGCGTAAAAATGACGTAATAAATCAATGTTAAAGTATGAAAATGTTAAAATTTGGAATTTTTTGACATTTTTTTTCCATTTCATTTCAAAATAGAGGAAAAACTAAAGGCCCTATCCAAATTCTGAGCCCAGTTCCTTGAAGAGTATTATTATTTCCGTCCGGAAGGTACTTTTTTAGTGCAATTTATTGGATTCCTATGGCGTCCAGATTGAGTTAACCTAAACACATATCCTAGGTCATATCACATAGCATTAACCTGATAACGTATGTTAACGCCATAGGGTCAACGAAGGGTCAACTGAGGTCATGTTGTTGACCCCTTGTGACCTCGGGTTACACGCAGGAACTTACTTTTGAGCAGTCCTGTCGCTCAGAATCTTGATCTGTACCTCCATTTGTTAGAATGACTCTTCATGCACTGAACACACTGCTGAACACATACTGTCAAGGAAATGGATGGGGGCCCGTTTTTCAAGTGACTCAAATCTGGACGCCACAGTAAACCGATAAAATGCACTAAAATAGTACCTTCCGAACGGAAATTGAATGTTCTTCAAGGAACTGGGCTCAGAATTTGGATAGGGCCTTTAGTTTTTCCTCTATTTTGAAATTAAATCGAAAAAATGTCAAATATTTACAAAATTTCAACATTTCCTTACTTTAACATAGATATATGACGTTATTTTTACACGGAAATTTGCAAAACCGAATATCACTCGAAAGCTTGTGGCATAGGAAAGACAATGAAAGTTACCGCGAGTCGATTAACTCAATTACACCGGACACGGTGGGCCAAAAACCGAATTTCTGGGCCAAAAAATCGAAAATCGTCTCTGAAAACCGGAAAAGCATTTTCAGATCAAAACAAATGCCCATTTCGGTTATAATTAGACCCAATGAGTCCAAAAAATCGGTCGTTACTCAGGAACAAAATGACTGTTGCATAGTGAATTGGCAAAACATAACACAGAAGTAAGCCAACAGCGGAACCCTGAATAGGCCTCTGCTGTTCGGAAGGGATGCATCCGGAATGCGATCCGGTAATCGATTCCTTAGAGCTGTAATTTTGACAACATTTTTTTTTTCGTGGCAAATCACATCAAACCATTTGCTCCAATCGGCAGCCGGCAGAGAGCTGGCACGGATCTCAGCTGAGCGCAGCATACGGCCGGCCGGCTGTGCGCATCGCTGGCTGCGGCCAGCGGCGGTCGGCTGGGAGCCCACCTGTCAGCCCGACGCCGGTGTAGAGTAGCCGCTGGAGAAGTCCCCGCCGGCGCAGCGCGGCCGCCAGCAGGCCGGCCAGGCCGCCGGCCGTGATGGCCGCCGTGCGCGCAACCGGATTCGTCTCGTGCCGCAGGTAGTCCAGCGCTCCTGACGGCAGCAGCGTACAGCATACAGCTCATACAGCTCATACAGCACATACAGCTCAGCCACTCCAAACCGGCGCACGCGCTTCTTTCGCAGACAAAGGTTTGCAAGCACAAGGCTCGTACAGGAAGAGCTTAGTAAGCAAAGGTTAGGGTTGAGCAAAATAAGCAAAGATTCGTGAACAATAAGGCTCTTATCCGTTAACCATATTCCCGGTGGATGGGGGACTTTTTGGTGCTCTCATGTTTTTCATTTTTATAAAAGCGATATTCAGCCAGAGGTATTCACAGCACAAGCACACACACGCCCGCGCCCGCGCCCGCGCACGCACACGCACACACACACACACACACACACACACACACCTACACACCCACACACACACACAGTGGCGTATGTAAGGGGGTTCTGGGGGTCCTAGGACTCCCCCCCCCCTGCAGCCCAGGTAAAAAGTTTTTTTTTAATCTCGAAAAATATTTAAATCACTTCGAGGGCCCTTTTGACCACCTACAATTTTTTCACATACTAAAAAAGTATCAGAGAACTCTTTTAGGGATCATTTTAGGACTATCAAAGGACACCTTTACTCGTAGGCCAAAGATTGACCTTGTGAAGTAATTAAAGGGCCATTTGGAACGAACAGGGCCCTCTCACACACAGAAGGCCCTCTCAGGCACTCACAGAACCCTCTCAGGCCAGCAGAGGACCCCTCAGAGTCAGGAAGAACAGAAGGCCCTCTGAGGTATGAGGGTCAATTTCAGGCCACAAGGGGCCCTATGCGACCAATAGACGGCCCCTCTGAGATCAAAAAGGGTCCTTGGAAGTTGGAGGTCACCGGGGGGGGGCCCTCTGAGGCAAACAGAGGTCAGAGGGCCCCTCAGACACCAAAAAGAGGTCAAATATGACCCTTGGAGGCCACCAAAGGGCCCTCTGAGATGACCAAAGAGCCCCCTGAGGCGAACCGAGGACCCTCTAAGGCGAACGGAGGGTCCTCTTAGGGGAATAAAGGGCCTCTGAGGCCCCTTAAGCTTTGGGTGATCAACAAGCACGCGTTGGTATTGCGTTTCTAGGTCGGTTAAGTCTGATGAGACGGCGGCCACAGAGCGGTTTGGCGGTCGGTATGCCGAAGCCACTATCAGCTGCTGACCTCTGTCCAGTTTCAGGAGCTCTCTCTGTCTCTGTCTCTCTCTGTCTCTCTCTGTCTCTCTCTGTCTCTCTCTGTCTCTCTCTGTCTCTCTCTGTCTCTCTCTGTCTCTCTCTGTCTCTGTCTCTGTCTCTCTCTCTGTCTCTGTCTCTCTCTGTCTCTCTCTCTCTCTGTCTCTGTCTCTCTCTGTCTCTGTCTCTCTCTCTGTCTCTGTCTCTGTCTCTGTCTCTCTCTCTCTCTCTGTCTCTGTCTCTGTCTCTCTCTCTCTCTCTGTCTCTGTCTCTCTCTGTCTCTGTCTCTCTCTCTGTCTCTCTCTCTCTCTCTCTGTCTCTCTCTCTCTCTTTCTCTCTCTCTCTCTCTCTCTCTCTCTCTCTCTCTCTCTCTCTCTCTCTCTCTCTCTCCCTCCCTCCCTCCCTCCCTCCCTCCCTCCCTCCCTCCCTCGAGCGGGCCCCTGACAGAAATTTCGGGGGGGGGGGGTCAGCTGACCCTTCAACCCACCCACCCCCTGGCTGCGCCACTGACAGGGGCACTCTGCAGTGAATCGGCAATCGCATCCTATGTCATCCTACCGGACGTTTTTGACCAGAAATGTCAAAATTTCGACTTTTTCTGTTAAAAAAATGCATGTCGTAGCTGAAAGGAAAACTTTGTCACCATCGGATTCCTCGCACCATTGCGCGTCGAATGATATGTAAAACGAGTGAGTAACGACTGGAGAAAGGCAAGATTTAACACAAAAGCTGATTTTGCTCCCCCCCCAACCGAAAATCTCTGGCGACGCCTATGTCGTGCAGGGTCACTATCTTCCCCTTCTTTGCACTGCGGCATCTCTGCGCCCCACACACGGCGTCCTCACTCCACGGCCGGCCGCCGCCAACTGACCCACACGCCGGGTGCACCGACCTGACCCAGTGTCGCTGCCGTAACCTGCGCAATAGAATCGGGCTGGAATCCGGGGGTTCGGCCGGCCGGCCGCCTCTAGAGCGGGGGACTTTTTTAGTTGACCTACAGGGTGTCCCAGAATTACCCGAACATTTATTTTCTGGCTAAAAGTACAGTCCACAGCAGAAGTAATGTGTGGTTTCAGTCATGGGTATGTTCTGCTTCTGAAGCCTAGGAACGATAAGCCAGACTGCAACGAGACTTTAAATGTAGCTTACAGGGTGTCCCAGAATTACCCAGACTCGTATTTTACAGTAAAAATCGTCGCTGTACCGTAATGAACAAAGTTGTAGGCGTAATACTTTTATGATACGTCCCTAAGCGACTGGTGTGAGATCCTAAAAAAAAGTGCGGGCACTCAGAGGCTTGCATAGGACTCTTCCTCGGAGGTCGGCCTTGGCCGAACGGCGTTCCTCAAACTGGTGTAGGGCGCTGAGATTATTGAATGGGGCTCTCGAGTATTGGCATGGGGCCCTCAGCTATCAGCACGGAGCCCTCAGGAGCCGGCAAGGGCTCCTCTGCGGCGTGCATAAGCCATCCGAGCTCAGAGGCCGGTGTGAAATCCTAAATAGGAGCTGAGTGCACTTAAAAACCTGCGTAGGGCCCTCAGAGATCACAGCTTTAACCAGCCAGCGTTCGTGGACACCCTTAGAAACTGACTTAGGGACCGCCTCAAATACTTGTGTCGGCCGGCCCTCTCACATCAGCCTGGGTATCTCAGGCATCGTCCTGGGCCCTCGAGAGCCGCTTAGGGCCCTCGGAAATTGGCATGGTACCCTGAGATAGCTGTTTGGGCCCTCGGGTAACGGCTTGGGGCCCTCGGGCATTGGCCTGGGGCCCCCGGGCATTGACCAGAGGCCCTTGGATATCGGTCTGGGGCCCCTCAAGAGCCGGTGAGAGCCTTCAGAAACTGGGGTGGGGCCCTGAGATAACTGTGGGGGCTTTCAGGTACCGATGCGGGACCCTCAGGCATCGGCCACAAGAGGGCGTTAAGGGGGCAGGGGCCCTCAAGAGCCGGTTAGGGCCCTCAAGAGCCGGTTAGGCCCTCAGAAACTAGCGTGGATCCCTGAGCTAGCCATGTAGGTACTCAGATACCGGCGTGGAGCCTTTAGACATCGACTTGGGGCTCTCGGGCATCGGCCTGGGGCCCTCAAGAGCCGGTGGGAGCGCTCAAAAATGGTGTGGGGCCCTGAGACAACATCTGAGATAACACTGGTAGGTACCTGTTTATGCATTCAGGCACCGGTGCGGGGACGTCAGGCTCGGGCTGGGGCCCTCGAGCATCAGCTTTAGACACTCAAGCGCCAGGGCCACATGGGCCCCCACAACGAACTGTGGGTGTGCAAAAATAGGTGTTTGCACACTCTCGGGATTTTCAGGGCTGTCCCCCCCCGGAATCCGCGGTCCCTGGCGTATAAAAATAAGGCAAACATAATTGCGTTTTTTTTTTCTTTTTGTCGTCCTATATAGTCAACTAAGGTGGCTGTGAAATAGCACATGCAATAGATACGCTTGTAACAAGATCAGCCGATAATGATAGAAAATGCCAGCCATTGCTGGTCTCAGTTGTTTTACGGGTCTCCCGAAACTGGGTGTAGGCCTGTTTTCTTTGACCTCTTGTCGGAGGATAATGCGATCATATAAGATAAACTTAACATCAAAGTGTTCCCAGGCCATAAGGCATTATCCCCAAAACAAAAATTTCCGCCTATACCACTTTTGCCGCGTTTTTTACATCTGAAGTGGAGAAGCACCATGTCTGAAAATGGCGCGACCTTTGGCTTCCAACAGATTTGGTCTCCAAAACAAACCCGTTCATGGCCATTTGGTTCACGACATCCAGTTTTTGTACTGGTAGAATATTACTTACCGCAGTAGTACTCTGTGCTAACGGTTGTCTTTGGGCCATCATATCAAGCCGAATGAGTGCACGGTGGCTCAAAATGTCTCACAATTTGATTTTCAACGGGTGCCTGGCCGTCTCTGCTGTTGGGGCGTTGTAGTCATCTGACGTTCACACACGCCTTTTTCGGGCGGTTCAAATGACAGAATACCTCCGTTAGACCACAAAGTGTGCTTCAATATACTTTCTGTTGTATATGGTTATGTTTTTGGTATGCATTGTAGTGATTTTCGCTGCTTTTCCCGTAGTTTTCGCATATTTTTCAGGCGAAGGACCCCAAATTCCAAAATTTTGTCGAAGATAGTGGTGGAAAGTAGACTGATGTTCTTTAGATAATCCTGATCTATCGTCTAGCTAGTTCTTAGCTAGATCGGTGACGTTTGTTGTCCATGACAAGCAACCACCCGTTTGACAACTGGTGCATGGCCCTTTTTGGCCGAGCCCAAGCTTGTCAATCAGGTTGATCTCTTGCTCTCTCTGGCTTCGTTAGCTGATATAATCAGGGGCGGATCCAGCCGTTTACAAAGGGAGGGGCCAAAACCGGCCAATGCCGACGTGATACAGGCTCACCAGGTTTACATAGTGGGGCATAATCAAGGAACCGTTTTTTAGAAGACCCGACGTGCACTTCTGTGCCACCGAAAAAATACATGTTTAATGCTTAACGATCCCGAACATATATTCTATCCGCAACTCGTTTCCATCCCCAGGATACTCGAATCCTTCTCCACACCTCAGCCCCCTGGTCCGGGTTGGACGGCCACCTTTATCCCATGCGGGTAGCTCCACCTCAGGAGCAGGCCCGTAACCGGGTACGGTGACCGTTAGTGGCCTGTCCACGTGATGGGCTCAGCCCCAACGGGTCACCAGGTTGCCCGCTCAGACCAATGTCTCCCCCTTAATCCTAGCATCTCTTCCGCTCGGCTTCACCAAGGAGTGTATGATGCACCGAATTCAGAGGAAGTCACGACCACGACTTTGCGCTTATCACTGTGCTCGGTAGCGACTAAAGCT